CTTGTGCAGCTAGAAACACCTGCCTAGAATTCAGCTTCCAGGGAAATAAGGTCCCCTTTCCTTGCACACCAAACCCTGGGGTTCCTCCCAGCCAGTGTTCCCTCTAACACCATGAGAGCACGCTGGAGCGATCAGACTCGGGGAAAGTCTGTCCGTGGCCTGTTGCAACCCCTTTGCTACTGGAGTTTCCTGGTGTCTTTTAACTCCACTTCTGCAACAGAGCAGAACGGGTTGCTGACAGCTGCGGGGTGCTTCCCAGATGTTGTTGTCTGATTTAAATCTGCCCGGCATTTGCACCAATGTCAGGTCTCATTGTGCGTATGATCACAGCCTAAGATGCGTTAGTGTGAGCTGGCTCACAGTTTTTTAGCCTCTGGCTCACACATTTTTTGTCTTAGCTCAGGAAGGATGGCCCCAGAGCAAACTAATTTATGCAGCAGCCAAATTGCTCACTCACAACTTTAGAGCCAGTAGCTCACAAAGTAGAATTTTTTGCTCACAAGACTCCACAGCTTAGAGGGAGCATTGCTCCCAACCCGCCTTTCATGGAGGATTTGCAGAATTCCTTTTTCTTTTAGGTCACCCAGAAAAGCACCTTTGCCTTCAGTTTCTCAAACCTGGCAACATCATAAATTCATCTCCTGAACACAACTGAGCACTCCACACCAATGCTCCCTCTAAGCTATGGAGTCCTGTGAGCAAAAATTCTCTTTTGTGACCTCCTGGCATGAAAGTTTTGAGCCAGTGATTTGGGTGCTGCATAAATTAGTTTGCTCTGGAGCCCTCCTTCCTGAGCCAAGACAAAAATGTGTGTGCCAGAGGCTAAATAACTGTGAGCTAGCTCACACTAACTCAGCTTAGAGGGAACACTGCTCCACACCCCAGTGGGTTCCTTCGGGATAGCTGCTCCCCTAATGCCACCCTTTGTCCCCGGCCATGGAGGAAGGAGGCAAGTCATTGCAAGGCAAGCCCCTGGACTCCAGTGTCGGCAAGGTGGTGGATCAATAGCTGATGGTCGACTGTGTCAAACTCTACTGACAGGTCCAACAACAACAGCACTGCCGATCCGCCCCAATCCAGATTCCTCTGGAGGTCATCCCTGAGGGCGACCAGTGCCGTCTCCATCCCGTGGCCTTGGCGAAAACCTGACTGGAAGAGATCTAAAATGGAAGCATCATCCAAAAAGCTCTGTAACTGAATTGCCACAGCCCTCTCTATTATCTTGCCCAAATAGGGCAAGTTGGAGACTGACCAGGATGGCTTTTTCAGTAGAGGACGAACCATCGCTTCCTTGAGTGCCTAGGGAACAGTCCCCCCGAGAGGGACTTATTAATAATCTCCCATAGGGCACCTCAAAACTCGTCATGGCCAGCTTTAATTAGCCATGAAGGGCACGGATCAAGGCAGCATGTGGTGGGGCGTACAGTCAGGAGCAATTTGTTGACTTCCTCTAGCCTGAGCAGACTGAAATAATCCAAAACCTGACAAGAAGGTGTGCATGGAGCCTTGAGTTCACTCACTGTTTTAATTGTGGTGGGGAGGTCGCAGTGGAGCGACAGGACTTTATCTGCGAAATAGCTCGCAAAGGCCTTGCAGCCACTGTCCAATTTCCTAGCATTTGGCCTGCCTTGTAACAGGGTTCTTCCCTCTATGGATGTGTTCCATTAAAAAAAAAAATTCTTCAGCACGCCAAAGGCTCTGGGTGTCAGACACACACTGTTGTGGCTCTCCAAGATTTACTGCCAGGCTAGATGAAGCTTGAGAGGAGCTCACTTATACCAAATGCCAAAAGGGCCATTTGACAATCAGCACTTTTGATCGGGCTGGAAACAAGCTGAAAGCCAACTGCAATAAATTTAGTTCTTCTGAGTTTGTGCAGCTTCCTGTCAGGAAGCCGAGTTGCTGCATTTGCATCAGCTGCAGTTTGTGAACTGCCTTCAAGGGCCGCCCATTGGCGTCAGTCAATCGGAGAGGTTGCAAAAGCACAGAGGGGAAAGACGCAAGCTCCTTGTTCTCCAGAAAGGCGTGTGACTGGCATTATCAAGTCAACAGACATGTAGAAATACAAAGGTCAAACACGACTGCAGGACTGATTGGCACTGCTGAGTGATCTAAAACATAACCAATTTTGTGCTTTCAATGCGAAAAAGGCTATGTTTTAACCACAGAGATGTCCTGGGTCTGAACGATGTGCCCCCCTGCATCCACAGAGAATCCTGACCAAAGTCAGATGTCAATTTTTAGCAGACCTATGGTGACCTCAGGGTTTTCAAGGCAAGAGACATTCAGAGGTGGTTTTTCCCATTGCTTGCCTCTGTGTAGCAACCTGGTGGTCTCATATCCACCTACTGACCAGGGCCGGCCCTGATTAACTTCTGCAATCTGACAAGATCATCCTAGCTTGGGCTATTCAGGTCAGGGCACTTCCCTTTTCAATACCCACGTATCAAATAATCTGTAACTGGCCCCAGCTGACATTTCTTCCAGTCCTCCAGGGACAATACATGGAAGTGGTCTCACTTCCGGATTATAGACCATCATCCTCAACTCTGTATTGCTTGGATGCAACTTAAACTCGCAACGTGTCCTATTTACAACATCTTCTAGGTTTCACGTTGATGTTTATGTAAACTTGTGATCCTTAAAAACACAAGTCTAATAAGTGGCTACAGGCAGGGGGACTGGGATGCCAACTGGAGCCCCCCCGCCCAGCATGGTTTCCCCATTTATTTTCCCAAAAGGAGCTGAACCCACCCAATGTTCTGTGTGTCCCTGTCAGCTCTTATCCCATCAGTGTGTTCGTTTCACAAGCAACCATCTCAAATAATCACTTTTCTTGGATTTTGCAGCAGCAGTCATGGGGGATGCAGGTTCAAAAGGTCATTCATCTCCCCCCCACACATCCCAAGACCCTACCTATAGCATTTCAGAGATTCATCCTTTTTCCTTGCCAGTGCTATCTTATTGTTTACTGGGAGGTTGTTTTCTTTCCATGGGGGAGCATTCAAATATGCATTCCACCCCTCCGTGCCTACCTGCAGTCTGAAGAGAGAGGCAAGGGCTCTTGATGCTGCCAGTTCTATGCATTGACTCGCTGCGCATGACATTTGCATCCCCCATGGCTCTCTGAGCAAAGCAATGGCCATTACTGCTATCCAGGGGTCATTTCCTGCAGGAGCGCACAGGAGCGGAGCTCCGGCAGTAAAGAGCCCAGGGGGTGGGTACATGCAACAAGCCCCACCCCCTGCTCCCAGCATCCCTCAGTCAGAGCAAGAAGCAGCCAGGTAAATTGCAGAGCTCCCCCCGGCCCCCCAGTCCAAAACAGTCCAGTGGCACCTTTAAGCCCAAGTTTTATTCAGGTACAAGCTCTCCCTCCTCTGCAAGGACAGATCTGTACGTTCCCCCCCCCCCCAATAGCTAGCAATCCAAAACAGTCCAGTGGAGCCTGAGCCGTGGGTGTTGCCTTCTGACACACTTCCAGTGATGTCAAGGGGTGTGGCATATGCAAATAAGTTATGCTAATGAGCTCCTGCACCTCTTTCTCTACGAAATGACCCCTGCTGCTATCCAACTGATCAAGAGCATTTCTATCCTACCATTCATCCAAGAAGCACAGGGTGTATGCGTGGTTCTCCATCCCCCATTTGTGAGGTAGGTAAGGCTGAAGGTATCTGATGGGCCCAAGGTCACCTGGCGAGCTTCCACAGCAGAAGGGAGATATGAACTCAGGTCTCCCAGATCTTAGTCTGATACTCTAACTGCTACACCACACTGGCTTCCGCACTTTAGGGCTCTGCTGGATCAGAGTCCATCTTGTCCTGTCTTCTAATGGTAGGGATTCGGGAACCAGATGCTTCCAGGAAGGAGACAACTGGACCCTTAGCATCAGTACCTGGTATTCAGAGGTAGACTGCCTCTAAATATGAAGGGTTGATCTGCCAAGCCCTTGTTAAAAGCTACTTGGTTGCCGACTTTTTAAAAAATAGCCTTTGCTTCTGTGCTTTTAAAGCAATTTCAGCTGCAGACATAAGGATGATGTTTGTTGACTCGCCATGAACAGCATTTCTCGCTGATTTCTTTGATTAAAGGAAGGCCTTGGGGCAGAACAGGTGGGGTCACCCCTCTGGGATATTTGGTTACTCTAGTGGTCATCTGTCTGCACTCAGTGGTGGTGAGTATTCAACAGCTTTTCACTATGCATGTATGTCCTGCCAAGTCGCATCCAACTATGCCGACCTCAGCAAGGGGCTTTCCAGGTAAGCGAGGTGGTTTGCCATTGCCTTCTTCTGCAGAGTCTTCATTGGTGGCCTCCCCTCCAACTACTGACCCTACTTAGCCTCCGAAATCTGACAGGACCAGGCCATACCATACCACATCCCAGCTTTACACTACACAGTACAATTTTTAAAAGTCCTCCCAAGAGCCAGTGAGGTGGAGCGGTTAGAGCATCAGGGTAGGGTATGGACAACCCGGGGTTCAATAAGCGCCACTCTGCCACAGAGACTGGCTGGGCGTCTTTTTGGCACTCTCAGCCTATCCTAACTCACAGGGAGGTTGTTATGAGGGTAAAATGGAGGAGAAAGGAATTATGACTTTGGGTCCCCGTTGGGGAGAACAGCGGGCTATGAATATCTAAAAAAATAAACAATCCCAACTGGGCACCGTTGCCGCTGCTGGAAGGCTAGGCGGCCGGCCGACGACGACTTCTTGCAGCCGCATTTACTCGGAAGTAAGCCCGTCTGGTTTCTGTGGCTTGCCGTCGAGAACGCTCAGCCTGCCTTTTCCCGGCCCTGGTTCCTCCAGGCAATCCTAATGGGGCCAGCTCCGCAGGCGGTGCTGTAGGGCGCCCAGCCGCGGCCTCAGCGAGGTGCCTCCTCCCCCCCCCCCGTGGGGTAGTGGCGGCCCGATCCTGGCTACGCAGGCAGGCACCCTCCCGGGCAGGGTCTGGCGGAAGAGAGAGGGGGAGCGAGCCGGCCCAGCCCGGCCCCGCTCTCGCTTCCCCTCCCTGCGCCACGCCGCGGTCCCCTTAAGAAGCGGCTTGACGTCAGCCAACTGTGGAGCCCGGCGCTTGGTTCCCACCGCTGCAGAGCCGAGGCAGGAGCGCGCCCGGCCGGCCCCGGGTAAGTGAGGGGGCCCCGGTCGGAGGAGGGGGTGCCTGGAGAGCTGCCCGCCCTTCTGCGCCCCCGTTCCCAGCTTGTGCGCTCTCGTCGCCCAGCTGCCCTTGATGTGCCCGGCCTGCCAGCGAGGCCGAGGCTGCGGCACGGGGGGGTGGGGGGGGTGCACGTCCCCTCTGCAGAAGGGCAGCAAGTGGCGGGCAGGGATGGAGGACCCAGGATCGGGGGAGAAGGAAAGGCCCGCGGGCGCTGGGGGCTCCTGCGCTGCCAAGGCTTCCATCCCCCCTGCGGCGCTGCTTGGCCTCGGCCGCGGATCGGGGCTGTGGAGACCCAAGGCGCCTCGTTCCTAAAAGGAGAAGGGGGGGGGAGGGAGGGGCGCGGAGGCCATCTTCCCAGATCGGGACCTGGTGGGGAGGAGGGACTCTGTACATGCTCAAGAACGCGCTCGCTTTATGGGAATCGCTCCGGCTTGATGGACACTCGCCAGGAAATGAGATGGTCAAATGCAGAGGTTGGTCGAGTGGACTGGAGCGCTTCGCACAGGAACGGGAGGGTCGCGTTTTTGAACCGTTCCCTTTAAAAGAGAAAGCTAACCCCGCAAACAAAAACAAAAACGGGGTGAGGGGGAGAGCAAGCAGCAGCTCACTTACTGCAGTGCTAGTTTTCTGTTTTCAGGGAGGATTTTTTTTTTTTTAAGTGAAGAATAATTCAAAACTGGAACCTAGTTCCTGCCAAGATGCTGTCTGGACTGCCCCTTCAGCATTCTGCTGCTGCCTCATACTCCTGAATGTGGAAACCAGGCCTGGCATGGGAAAAAGAGAACTGCCATGACTGGCACTGGTGGACATTATTCCCTGCATCTCCTTGAATGGAAATTAGTTGCTTGTCTATATAGGCCTGCAGCGGTTGTACGTCTTTTTTTTGGGGGGGGGGAATCCAGAGTTGCTCCTCAGCCACCTGCCTCCACGTGTATCCATTCCACCTTCTCCTGGGCTTCTGAGAAGGGGGGCGGCTGCAGATTGCCTCAAGCTGTTCATGGTGGCATGTTGTAGTTGAGGCGACTTGCAACATCCTCGACTGGGGCCAACATGCTTATTTATTTAACTTCATTTTTACCCCCTCCCCAGCAGAGACCCACAATGGCTTATATTGTCCCCTTCTCCTCCCTTTTAACCCTCACAACAACCCAGTGTTAGGCTGAGTTCTTGTGTGTGGCCCGAAGTCACCCAGCCAGTTTCCATGGCAGATGAAGGATTTCAGCATCCTTATGGGAGACATTTTGAACTTCCACTCTTCATCCCTGGGCCAGAGCTGCTAGTAGTCCTTCCTGGTGATGCCAGATCAATTGGACATTGACAGATATACAGCTCCTTGAATTGTGTCCTCAGAGCTAATATTCTTCCTTCGGAGGTGCAGAGAATGCAGGAATGTCCACACACGGCAACAATCCAAGAGCTTCCTTTTTCTGGGAGGGGAAATGGTTCTTCCTCTGTACGGAGTAATCTCTGACTGGGGAATGTCTCTTTGTGGCTGTCTCTGAGTTTATTTCATTTTTGACCTTTTAATTTTTTAAAAATTGTTGTTATGTAATATAAAAACACATTTGTATAGATTCATTGACTCACAGCATTCCTAAATAGGTCATAACTATACAATTCCACACAACGCTCTTATTATTTTAAATAAGTATTAATTGTACACCTTGATAAAATTATCCATTGCCATATGATAAATAATAATCCATATCTCTTTCATTTTCCCTCCTTTTAAGGGAGGATAAAGGCTAGGAGGATGAGCCTGAATAGCCCAGACTAGCCCAGTCTCATCAGGCCTCAACGCACCTCCTGCAGGCCTCGTAGACTAAGTAGGATCTGCCTTGGTTAGTACTTAGGTGGGAGACCGCCAAGGAAGTCCAGGGATGCTTGCAGAGCCATGCAGTGGCAGACCACCTCTGCCATCTTTTGCCTTGAAAACCTTATTCAGTCACTGTAAGTTGGCTGTGACTTGGCAACACACAGATCTTCGACGTGGTCTCTGTGCTTCACACCCATGGCATCTAGTGCGCACGCGCTGGATCGATCGGTGCTTTAGCAAGCTCTTTTAACGGATTTTTGCACCCAGTCCCTCGGGCATGCGCAGGAACCCCACAGCGCACCCCCAGAGGGGTGGGCGCGGACATCCCGCAAGTTCCTTTCTTAGCGATTTAGCGATCAGGTAACATAGACGGATGAGACCCACAATCCACTTTGACAGGCGCTGAGCTGTGATGCGAGTGCCCAGCCGTGCTGACACGTAAGAGACAAACAGTTGCGAGTCTCGTCTAGTTGGGTGTGTTCTATTGAGGTAGAACAGGAGAGCCCGCTTCACATCTAAAGTGTGTAATAGTTTGTCTTCCGGTGATGTTGGATTTGGGAAAAAATCAGGGAGGAAGACCTCCGCCTGCAGGTGGAACTCTGACACCACCTTCGGCAGGAAGGAGATGTCCCGGACGAGGCGGACTCTGTCCGGCAAAAATGACAGGTAAGGTGTATCGTGCCGGAAAGCCAATATTTCTCCCACTCGTCTAGCCGATGTGACAGCAATTAAAAAGGCCGTTTTCCATGCTAGAAGTTTGAGGTCGCATGTTGCAAGCGGCTCAAAGGGCTTCCTCGTGAGCTGGCGGAGAACTAGAAGAAGGTCCCAGGGAGCGACTGGAGTTTTGACAGGAGGATAGAGATGCAATAAACCTTTTAAAAAACGTTTTGAAAACAGATGGGAAAACAACGTGCATCCCTCAACTGGAACATGGTAGGCCGAAAGAGTGGCCAAATAAACTCTCAATGATGAATGGGCTTTAAGGTGCGCAGCTCGGTTTTTCTGCATTTGATTAGAAAAACGAGCCCAGTGACGACAGGACTCTGGCCGGTGAGACTCTCCGAGACAAAAAATGCACAGGGCATGACGGTCGGGAGGAGCAAGTTTGCTGCCACAACCCTTGCACCTATTGAAAACCCCCCACTTCTTCTCCATAAAAGAAAGTGAAGAAGAGAGAACGTTTGAGGGGGGGGATAGCCCGAAGGCCTGAGGTAATCAGTAGACTCCCCCCTCAGTAGAAAATAAATGTTTTTAAAGTTTTTTTGAAGAACAAACAAATAAAAAAGAAAAGGAGAGGAAATTTAGAATAAGGAAATAATTCCTAAGAGCTTTGAGGCGAAAGCCAAAAGCGAACCGATCTGACAGACGAAAAATAGGTCTAAATGCGGCGGTTTGAAGGAACTGGCGGGATGTCTGCGCCCACCCCTCTGGGCATGCGCAGTGGGGTTCCTGTGCATGTCTGAGGGACCGGGCGCGAAAATCCTTTAAAAGAGCTTGCTAAAGCACCAATCGATCCAGCGCGTGCGCACTAGATCCCATGGGTGTGAATGCACAGATGACCACTCAAAGATCACCAGTTACTGGTAAGCAACCTGTCTTTATTAAGTTTAGGAGCACACAAGTGCATGTTTGGTGTAGTGGAGAGCCAGTTTGGTGTAGTGGTTAAGTATGCGGACTCTAATCTGGGAGAACCGGGTTTGATTCCCCATTCCTCCACTTGCACCTGCTGGATGACCTTGGGCAAGCCGTAGTTCTGATAAGAGCTGTTCTTGAAAAAGAGCAGTTTCTGACAGAGCTCTCTCAGCCCCACCTACCTCACAGGGTGTCTGTTGTGGGGAGGGGAAGGGAAAGGAGTTTGTAAGCCGCTCTGAGACTCCTTTGGGTAGTGAAGGGCGGGGTATAAATCCAATCTCTTCTTCTTCTTCTTCATGTTCGTGAGGAGGGAATATGGCTACCCAGTGTGGCTGGTGGACTCCAGAGGAGGCTTAGCTGAGGCCTTGAGCCCAGTGGAGCCCACAGAGGAAGCTGGATGAAACCCTCAGAGGTGACACTAAATGGTCTGTGCTGTTACTCTTATTCTTAACTAGTCTTCTCACTGCTTTCCCTCCAATTAAACGGATGCAGAATTCAGCTAGGAAAATATTTGATGGGGCTTGCCTTCCGTGCTTCAGTCTCCTGAGGTGCTCTGGATCCCTCTGCTTACACATCTCCACTGTCCATCCTTCACTAGTTGAAGAGACCTGCTTGTGACAGAGAGCCAAATTTGGTGTAGTGGTTAGCGTGCTGGACTAGAGATCTGAGAGAATCAGGTTCGAATTGCCACTCTGCTGTGAATCTTTCAGCCTAACCTACCTCGCAGGGTTGTTGTTAGGATAAAACGGGAGTGGGTGATGATGTAAGCTGCTTTGAGTCCTCTGTGAGGTAGCAAAGCAGAGTATAAATATCTTAATCATGTTCAGCAGACAGTCGCCAGGCCCATGTCTTTCCAGGAAGTGCTGCAGTGTGGGTAGCCCCAGCTGCCTTTTCCTGTCTTTGACTGTCTCTTTCCCCCTCTTCCAGCTTCCCCAATGACTGGACCTCTGTGAGGCGCAGCACGCAGCGAAGATGGCCGGAACACGGGCCTTCTCGGAGGGGAAGATTGCCGGCCTCTATGATCTGGAACGCACCCTGGGCAAGGGCCACTTTGCGGTGGTGAAGCTGGCGCGGCACGTCTTCACAGGTGAGCGGGTGGCCGTCAAGGTGATCGACAAGAGCAAGCTGGATGGCGGGGCCGCTGCCCAGCTCCTGCAGGAGGTGCGTTGCATGAAGCTGGTCCAGCACCCCAACGTGGTGCGCCTCTATGAGGTCATTGACACCCACTCCAAGCTCTACCTCATCCTGGAGCTGGGCGACGGTGGAGACATGTTCGACCACATCATGCAGCACGAGGGCGGCCTTGAGGAGGAGCGGGCCAAGCACTACTTTGCCCAGATCGTCCACGCCATCTCCTATTGCCACCGCCTCCATGTGGTGCACCGCGACCTCAAGCCTGAGAACGTGGTCTTCTTCCAGGAGCAGGGAGTGGTCAAGCTGACGGATTTTGGCTTCAGCAACTGCTTCCAGCCGGGCACCATGCTCACCACCAGCTGCGGCTCCCTGGCCTACTCGGCCCCCGAGATCCTGCTGGGGGACGAATATGATGCCCCCGCTGTGGGTAAGAACCGGGCTGGAACTGGCTGGGAAGGGTTTGCTTAGCCTAAGGCCCGCTGGGGACACTTGGTTTAGAAATAACCGTGGAATTCACTGCCACAGTTGCCATTTCGGGGTCAGGAAGGAATTTTCCTCCAGGCCAGATGGGTCCAGAGATCCTGGAGGTTCTTTGCCTTCCTCTGGGCATACAGCAGGGGAGGTAGCTTTGAATTTCCTGCATTGTGCAGGGAGTTGTACTAGGAGACCCTTTGGGTACCTTCCAGCTCTATGTGGGTACCTTCCAGCTTTATGATAATCTCTGGCTTTTCCAAAGGGGATCATCAAATCTAGGGAGGGAGTGTGTCATGTATTTTACTTATTTCATCTATGCCCCACTCAGTGGGGGTCCAAAGCAGCTTACACCGCTGTCCTCCATTTTATCCTTACAGCAACCCTGTGAGGTAAGGTAGGCCGAGTGTGTGCAGTTGGCTTACGCTTCCATGGCTGAGCAGGGATTCAAACCTGGGTCTCCCAAATTTCAGTCCGAAACTCTAACCACTGCACCACGCTGGCTCACAGACCTGTTGTAGACCCGTTGGCTGCAGCTATTAAGCATCTCCCTCCAGATGCAGAGGCGGCATGCCACAGAATAGTAAAGGCGGGGGACCTGCGACAAGGAGAGCAGTCTTCTTGTTTCTGTGCAGTGCTGGTGAGCTTCCTTTAGGTCTCTTGCCTGCCACTCTTGGCAAACAGTTGCTAGTTTAGTCCAGCCTTTTAGTCAGATTCAGCAGGGCTATTTCTTTTGTTCTTAAATTGAGGTATTAGTTATCAGTCACCCAGAGCAGAACTGCTGCTGTCTCAGAGGAGCGTTCCATTCTTTATCAAGAAATTGTTCTTATTTCTATGTATAGATAACCTGAACTCCCTCCCCACAATCCTGGGGTGGGGCACATGGTCCCCTACACTTCCCGCTACATTCTCAGATTAGCCATGAAACTCTCTGGGTGACCTTGGACCAGTCTCTCTCAGACTTAGCCTTCCTCACAGGGCTGTTGTGAGGATAAAAGGGAGATCAGCAAAGCCTCCTTGAGCTCCTTGGAGGGAGGGTAGGGTAAACATGTAATAAATCGATCCGGAATGGTCTTTTCTGCAGCATGAGATGTTTCTCAGGAGCTCAGAGGAGCCCCGTGTCTTCCCTGGGATACACATGGGTTTCCTCAAGTGGGGCGGTACGACGATCACCCCCACCCCAGGACTGTTTCAAGCTGGGAAGATGGTGTAAGGAGAAGGTTGTCGTTCCTTCTCCATGTGCATTGTGGTCTTCCTCTTGATTGGGCACTGCATGTGCTGGGATTAAGGAGAACCCGCAAAACTCATGTTGTGGCTGTGTTACATGTTCAGACACAGGGTGGGAACTCATCCCTACCTGCCTGCTCTGTAACATGCAAAGAGGCCTTTGAAAGTGGTTTCTGGGGCTCAGCACACTGCACACACCTTTTTCCTTGCCGCTGGGCCTCTTTCATCGCTCTGTGCAATTTGGCGGCTATTCCCTTAACCCAGGGGAGGGGCGGGTTGGGTGGGACAGCCAGAAGGAATCTTTAAACTTTAGAATCTTGGTCAGCGGCCTGATCATTGCTGGGACCAGCAAGGCTGCCTGTGCCGGAGAAGGTTTCTGTGCTGATAGGATAGCATGAGCATAAGCGTGGGTGACTGGTTGTGTGTGTGTGCGTGCACGCTTTCCATTTATCTGCTTCTGTTTGCATGGGAAGACCGGCAGATGAGAAAGCCAGGTCTTAAGAGATGCAGGCTTCCCAGGATTGGCTCTGCAGATAAAATGGTAATCATATTAACCCCTCACATTTATGTAGAACTTTCAGTGGTTCCAAAGCATTGTCTTATTGCAAGACAGAAATCCACAGGGGTAGTTGCTCGTGATCTTCGTTGTATAAACCCGATCACGCAGGGCTGGGATTTAAAGCACCTTCGTTCAACTGAATGGCAAGGCACGCCGCCGGTCCATTCTCAACTTTCCACCCCAGGGACAGTTCTTTGTCTGCTTGCAAGGGCTGCCACTGTTTTGGGAACCAGATGACATTCTGTACGTTTATCTGCTGTTCACATGAGGAAACCCGGTAGGCAGCAGTAAATTCCAGCCACCTCCACAAGCAGTTGAGAAAGGTGTGCGAGGGGAGGGGAGGGAATGTGAAGCAACTACTGACTAACTGAGGCTTGCAGTGCAATCCTGTGCAGAGTTTTTCTGGCTGGGTTGCACTGCTCAGAGTCTTCAGATGTTTTGCAGGGAAAGTGTATTTTAAATCCCTACTTGTGATAATGTGTACGGGCTCCATTAGGGGTCATGGGGCCTTCTCCCCTCCACAACTCCTGCAGCCACTCCACTTTTTTTGACAGGGTGGTCCTTCTTTCCCTCTCCTCCGTCTCAGCATCTCCTGCCCCGTTTGTCTGTTGCCAGAGATATTGTGATGAGGGACCAGGCTCAAAGTGACTTACAGGGCCATCTTACGCATCCTTGAAATTGGTGGGCTGAGCCGGAAGTAACTCTGTTTAGGGCTGTGCTGTTATTGAATTGGATTTTAAGAGCCAGCTCCCCAAGGATTCATTTGACCTCTCACAATTTTGCATTTCAGACCCATAAAGCCACAACCTTGTTAGTGGAAATAACAAGTGTCTCTCCTTGTAGGCCCTGACCTGGATATCTCATCAGATCTCAGAAGCTAAGCAGGGTTGGCCATGGCTGGTATTTGGATGGGAGACCACCAAGGGAGTCCAGGGCTGTGACTTGGAGGCAGGCAGTGGCAAACCACCTCTGAACGTTTCTTGCCTTGAAAACCCGATGGGGTTGCTAAGTGATCTTCAAGATCAGTTTCATAACAATATGTGGAAGAATGGGAGGAAAGAGGAAAGGTGTTCACGGTGTATAGCTGCTTTAATTCAGTTATTTCCAAGCAGACCATGCTGGTAATGCGTTTTTGGTCAAATACTGGCCGTTCCAGGATGCAGAGCGTGTATACTGGCACTTTGGAGGGCTTGGTAGTGTCTGTCTGTTGCAGACTTGGGCAAGAATGTATATTGTAGCTCCTGCTTAACTCTCAAGTGTATCCTTCACTGAGAAATCCATGCAGCTTTAATGATACCATAAAAGTGTGGCAAAAATATCCAACGTGGATCAATAATACTGGGTAGAGCACTTAACTTTTTATTTTAAAACAAGATTCTAGCCCTCAGCATTACGGAAGAAGAACTAAAGCAATCTGTTCTGCTATTTAACAGTCAACAACTTGAAGTGGTTCTTGCTAAGGCAGATTAAAAGCATACCAAAAATTCTGTGTTCTATAAGGGCCAAAATTCCCCCAGTGTGTTGTCCCAGGAATCCGTGCTTTCTTTGCCTAATGAAACCTGATGTCAGAGAAGGACTAGACAAACTTTTTTTTTTTTGACCAGGGAAGTGAGATGCAGTTGCTTGCCAAAGTTTGGGTCCCTTTCCCCTGGCCCTCACTTAACTCCCAGGTGCCATTTCTTTTCATAAGAACATAAGAGAAGCCAATGTTGGGTCAGGCCAATGACCCATCCAGTCCAACACTCTGTCACACAGTGGCCAAAAACACCAGGTGCCATCAGGAGGTCCAGCAGTGGGGCCAGGACACTAGAAGCCCTCCCATTGTGGGTCCCCCCCCAAGCACCAAGAAGACAGAGCGTCACTTTCCCCAGACTGAGAGTTCCTATCTATACCTTGTGGCTAATAGCCACTGATGGACATCTGCTCCATATGTTTATGCAATTCCCTCTTGAAGCCGTCCATGCTTGTAGCCACCACCACCTCGTGTGGAAGTGAATTCCATGTGTTAATCACTCTTTGGGTGAAGAAGGACTTCCTTTTATCCGTTGCTAACCTGACTGCTCAGCAATTTCATTGAGTGCCCACGAGTTCTTGTATTGTAAGAAAGGGAGAAAAGTACCTCTTTCTCTACCTGCTCTATCCCATGCATAATCTTGTAAACCTCAATCATGTCACCCCTCAGTCGTCATTTCTCCAAGCTAAAGAGCCCCAAGCGTTTTAACCTTTCTTCATAGGGAAAGTATTTCAATGCTTTTATCATTCTAGTTGCCCTTTTCTGCACTTTTTCCAATGCTATAATATCCTATTTGAGGTGTGGTGACCAGAACTGTACACAGTACTCCAAATGAGGTCGCGTCATCGATTTATACTGGCTGATACTGGCTGATTTGTTTTTAATTCCCTTCCTAATAATTCCCAGCATAGCATTGGCCTTTTTATTGCAGTTGCACACTATCTTGACATTTTCAGTGAGTTATCTACTACAACTCCAAGATCTCTCTCCTGGTCAGTCTTTGCCAGTTTGGACCCCATCAATGTGTATTTATAGTTAGGATTTTTGGCCCCTATGTGCATCACCTTGCACTTGGCCACATTGAACCCCATTTGCCACATTGATGCCCACTCACCCATCCTCGACAGATCCCTTTGGAGTGCCTCACAATCCTCCCTGGTTTTCACCACCCTGAACAATTTTGTGTCATCCGCAAATTTAGCCACTTCACTGCTTATTCCCAACTCAAAATCATTAATGAACAAGTTAAAAAGCATCGGACCCAGTACTGATCCCTCCATTGGTTATCACCCTCCATTGAGAAAACTGCCCATTTATATTCACTCTCTGTTTCCTATTGATTAGCCAGGTTTTGATCCACAAGAGGACTTGTCCTTTTATCCCACGACTATTGAGTTTAGGAACCTTTAGTGAAGGATTTTATTAAAAGCTTTCTGGAAGTCAAGGTAAACAAACATCTATTGGGTCCCCCTTGTCCACATGTTTGTTCACTCCTTCAAAGAACACTAACAGGTTAATGAGACAAGATCTTCCCTTACAGAACCCATGCTGAGTCTGCCTCAGTAGTTTTTGTTCATCAATGTGCCTACTAATTCTCTCCTTAATAACAGTTTCCACCAACTTACCTGGTATTGACGTCAGACTTACTGGCCTGTAA